ATTCATTCATCTGTTTTGCATGCACCCGGGTCGGCGCATCATACTAACTGAAATTGTATTCAATTCCAAGATTGATACTTGTTTAGCTATTGGCAGCCTCATATGCCATGTTTAGAATAACGCCGAGCCCTGCTATAGTTGCATTTCTTGCATGCTGTTGCATTAGGCATTTCGGCCAATATTTTAGGATCATGGCATAGAATTTCTAATTAAGCTTCTGTTTTGGGCTTGGAGTACTCGGCGAGTTTTTATTGCTTTAGCATCCTTGCATGCGTGGAGTGACTGCCAATGATAGCATGCTTACGCATGAGGCTAATTTGCTTAATGTGATATAACTGTCTGAATGCCTGTGGGTGAAGTTGGGTTATTTATGTTGGAACATTCATCAAATTTGTGTTTAGCCCACTCAGATACGTGGCAAAACCATCTTTTGCATAAGCCACCCAATGGGTGGCAGAATCCCACGTCTAGCCCACTTGCGAGTAGGCACCATCCAAAAACATCTTCTCAAAAAACAAACACGAAAGGTGTTTTGTTCGCAATTTCAGGCGACCCGGTCTATACTTGTATGCTGTGGCGCATCAACAATAGTAAACCTAGGCTAAAAAAATTTTGGAATAAGAACACCAATGTTTTTCAAACTTTTATATCATGGTTAGTAGAGGCCGATCTTGATCGGTGCGAGCGGGGGTGCCTCACGAAGTGACCTTCCCCAATCGTACCCAAGTTCCCGAGCCGAGGCAACTTTGGTGATGACGGACACGTGGCCTTTTGGCACCGAGTCAGGGTTTCCTAAATTTCCCAAAATAAAATATTTAGGTGGTGACTCTGTATCTGGCAAAGCAGTCCATGTTTGGCACTTCTTTCAAAATCTGTTTTCTCAAAACGATTTGTCGGATTTGGACTCTTTGGTTCAGATTAAGAACCGTGACAATCGAGTCCGAACTATAGCGAGGTCCCCCCGCGGACTTGTCTACACTTCGCAAGAGCAGCAATAGAGGATTTGAAAGAGAAAGTTTAAACAAAAACAAAGATGCAGAAGTGAAAAGACGGAGAGAGTGAAGAGATTTTGATCAAATACGCAGATGCAAGGAGACTTAATGACACATATCAGACACGGCTCAGTAGGAGAAAGATGCGTGGCAGAAACGGTTGAAAAATTGTGCGTGCCAACTCATACGCATAAAGAAAACTCTTGAAGTTCTTGAAACAAATGCCTCGGCTAGAGGGATAGTTTCGGTTGAGAAACTTGAATGAATTTGGTTGTTGGATCCAAAGCCTTGATGAAAGCAGACTATATGCCTAGGTCATATTGAGCCGACGAGTTCTGACTTCGGCAATAAACGATAAAGCAAGCTTAGCCGACGTGCTAGATGAAAGAGATAATATAGGTTCCATCACCTCAGTTTGCCGAGGTAATAGAACCTAGGAGGCAGTTGTGGGGACATATTTTTTCGGTAGTCCACGTGGTCGAGGTTGTTAGCCGAGATGCTACATGTTTGCCGAGATATTTGGGGCACTGCCGAGGTATTCTGCGACAATACCGGAATCCGAGATAAGCGGATAAGGGACAAGAGTCCTAGAATTGGAGAAGACTTCAGTTTGGGTAAAGATGAGACTCTTAGATAGCTTATCCTAATTCAACTGGGAGTCCAATATTAGCAGTAATCCTAAGTCCATTACAGTTAGGCTTCTATTGGGAACTAAGATTGTGTTGGCTATAAAATAGAGGCACTCCCATGGGTCTAAGGTATGCTTTTGATATTCTGCCTAGTGAGTTAAGCACTATTGGTTATTTTTTAGAGATATTGAGTACTGACTTGGTCGTTGGAGTTCCCCCAGGTGGACGAGCCGCCGCTGGAAACTCTTCTTTCTGTTGCAGGTCGTTCAGGCTTAATCTATTTTGCCGGTGCTCTCCAGCTGGGTACCTGCTTGGCAGTGTGGTCAGAAAATCACCCACACAATTACATAAATTACAGAAACTCTTATCTTTTTAAACTAAATGGAGAAAATTAATAAATTTGTGACATGTTTCCTATATTTGGATATTCAAATAATTGAAAGAAAAAAAAGAATAGAACTTTAATGTTTAAATAATGTATGGCAATTTATAATCGTGTTAATCGATTCATTTCCTTATATGATAACTAAATGGGGCAATTAATAAATCATATATCTATCACTTGCGGACAATTTAGTCTAATAAATATTTTTATAAAGGGTTGAGCTTTTCTTATGTTGATTTGAGAGGTCCATCGGGTCTACAATAGATCTCGTTTTGATGATTCAAATTGTCCATTTTGTAAAATCCTCAATGTATATCAGTTATAAAAAAATTTAGGTCAATATAATAATTGTAACTTTTCATTTTATAGCATTTGTCCCTATAAAAATGGATGGTCTATTTCAAAAACATATTTGTCGTTCGATTTTTCGGAGACAAATGAGATAAAATGAAAAAGTTATAATTATTGGATAAAACTATTTTTTTTCATAGATAATATACATTAAAGACCCTACAAAATGAACGGTTCATATCATCGAAATAGAACTCGTGGTAGGCCCTATAAACCCCTTAAGTTCTCTTATGTTGAGATCTCAACATGAGAGAAACCCAACCTTTTTAGGAACCTATAACTCTATCTCATATTCAAATCTCTCGAATGAAGCATACCTATATTTAAAAGGGGTTGGCTTTCCTCTAATCTGTGATCAGACTAGAGGGTATTGTTGGGTCCATGGGGGCCTACCACGGTCCCGTTTTGATAATCTGAACCATTCAATGTGTAGAACTCGTCGAGTACTATATGCTTATGAACAATCACGTTAATCAAATATTGATAATTATGTGATCAAATCAGTTTTGTATAAAAAAAAAATAGACGGTAAAAAAATAATGGTTGATAGAAATCTGATCCGATGAGATAGCTATAGATATTTGATCAAAGTGATTTTTTACAAGCATATAGTACTCGACGAGTTCTACACATTGAACTATTCGGATTATCAAAATGGGACTCGTGGTGGGCCTCCATAGGCCCAACAGTACCCTCCAGCCTGATCACGGACTGGAGAGAAGCCCAACCTTATTTAAAAATATAATAAGACAATATTACACACATTAAGATTACATCCCATTATCATATTTTAATAATGAAAAATATAACAAAAGTTTAATAAGATAATAGTGCACAAATGTACCATCGTCACATTTTAAGAATAATGACACATTTGGAAAAATTTTAATAAAGCAACAATACACACATTAGAATGATGTCCTATTGGCACATTTTTAATAAAGACACATTTGACAACTGTTTTTTTTTTTTTTTTTTTTTATCAGCAAAGAAAAAGGGAAACTTTATTAATGAGATGAGCAAGATCAAGCAACAAGATACATTTGACAACTGTTTAATAAGACAATAGTGCCCAAATGTTCCATTGCCACATTTTAAAAACGACACATTTGGAGAAAGTTTAATAAAACAATAGTACAAAAATGTCCATTACCATATTTTAAGAAGAATAATATATGTGACAAAAATTTAATAAGATAATAGTACATAAATAAAAATGACGTCTTATTGTCATTATTTAAGAATGAAACATTTGACAAAAGTTTAATAAGACAATAGTGTACAAATGTTATGTTGCCACATTTTAAAAAGAATGACACATTTGACAAAAGTTTAATAAGATCATAATATATATATATATATATTCAAATGATGTCACATTATCCGATTTTAAGAAAGACAAATTTGGCTTAAATTTAATAATGTCACATGGCGCTTAACAAGCACCCAATAATTATCCTAAATGCTCATTGTAAAGATATGCAAAATTCTATATTCACACTAATACCATTATGATACTTTAATTTTAATGATGTAGAATTTTTTTAAAAAAAATAATTAACGAGGAATTTCAAGTTCAAAGTCTAACAATAATTTGAAATTTATGACATTCTAATTAAGTTGACACCAGGAAAACCACCCAATCATTTGCAGCACCCACCAAACAGCCATGTTTTGTTTTGCTTTGATGCTTATATAGCACTCCCTCCATTTTTTATTTTTTTTATTTTTATCTTTGTTGATGTAAGATGGAAACGATTTATTATTGATTTTGAATCAATAAAGTTTATTATTTTGCTGATCAAAAAAAGAAAAAAAAAAGGCCATGTTTGGTTTCTTTTTTAGAAAAAAGAAATTTAGAATTTAAAAAAAAATGGAAACTAGTAAGATAATAATAAATAGAGAAAAGATATTTTTAAAATTTTAAAATCATATAAAAATGATAATTGTTTTATATTTTTTTATTTCTTTCACCAAATTAATTTTTAATTTTGAAAAAAAAAATTTGCAACAAATTACCGAAAACCAAACTAAACATTGACTTGTGTGGCCCTCCCCGTATAGGACTAAACTCCCCTCCATACTTTTGTCTCTCTATATTTTTTTATATTCTTCTTGTGACCCCCAATTCAGACCTATACTGATAATCTGAATCGTATATCTTGTAAACCTAAAATAATAAAATAGATGATTTAGATCATATACACAAAATTAAATTAAGCCCCACAAAAAGAGTACAGAAAGATACTCCCTCCGTCCCCAAAATATTAGTCCCTTATTTCATTTTTTATTATTCCAAAATAGTAGTCAATTTTTTAAAATTAATGACAAATAATATGAATTTCCTATTTTGCCATTTTTTTAAATTCATTAACAACACAAAAAGTACAATTATGTCAATTGATTTCTCCAAAAAAAAATGTTCTTTCAAAGGATAATTTTGAAAAATTAATTTTTTTAAAATATAATAATTGTACTATCAAAAAAAGTTAGACTCCCCAAAAGGGACTACTATCTTGGGAGAGAGGGAGTATAAGCTTATTCCTCTGTATAAATACATGCATCACCTCTGAACCTATTATGCAATCTCAGTATAACACTGTGTTTGGTATTTCATAAGGTTGTTTAGGAAGGAAAAAAAAAATGGCCAATTTTCTTAAACACCTCCCCACTCTCTTCACCTTTATAACTTTGTTATCACTATTAATAATTTCATCTACTTCTGCCTTTTCACCTACTGTAGCCACCTGGTATGGAGAACCTATTGGTTTTGGGACCACTGGTAAGGAGTGAGAAAAATCCATTTCATAAGGTTGCCAAACATTATTTTCTTTAGTTTTGATAAATTTTTAAGTTGTTGTAATTTATAATTTTATTATTCATATCTTCGATACGCTTTTATACTTGATTAGACTCTTTTTCATGAATTGTTTATTTATTTATTTGTTACTCATTAAAATTTTATTTATAGAGAATTTATTAGTGTGGAACAATGTCACAAGTAACATAAATAGGATCAACACGTGTAATTAAGTTTTATTTTTTTATTTTTTTTTACTTTATTTTGACTGAAACTTGGATCAAACTCAATCAAAAGCTTTTTGTAGTTGCTAGGCTACTGTTTTCAAGATTTGAAACTTTTAGGACGTGTTTCGAGATGGCTTGAATTTAAATAACTTACGAAATTTTTTGAATCTTGGATTTGACAAAACAAAATGAAAATGTAAGGGAAATTTTAAGAATAATAAAAAAAAATACTTTATATATGCGTACTTATATTATGGGTGAATAAACAAATTAGAAACTTTTTTAACAACCGTTTTTTTTTTTCTTCCTAGTCCAACCAAAAGAGGAAATGTTGGCTTCTTTTACTTCATTTTATATTCACATCTTTCATCTTTTTATTTTATTTTATTTTATTTTTTAAATTCAAGATTCGAACATAGTAAAATCTATTTTAAGACAAAACATATAATCCATTTCTCAAATGGAGGCATCCTCTCTAAGAAGTCTTCATCTAGATAGTTTGACTAGCAGAATACATAATTGATTATATGTTATGATATCATGTTAAATTATTAGTCACTAATTCATTACATATTTTAAATTATTAGAGAAAACTAAAAACTTTACCTCCATACATGTATATATATAAATTTAATTAATTAATTAATTATTATTATTTTTTGATTAGGGTGTCATAACCTTTGACACTCATATTTGGAATGTAGGGGGTGCTTGTGGATATACCGATATTCTTGGAAAAGCTCCATTCTATAAAATGGTATCAGCCGGAGGCTATGCTCTATTCGAATCAGGCATGGGATGTGGTACATGTTATCAGGTGGCACAACTTATCTTTAATGCATTTTATCTCTTTTATTAGTATGGTAAGTCTATTTATACAAAAATCAAACACAAAATATGGCATCTCTTATAAGGAATGGGGCCTACATGTGTGGAACCTACATGTGGGACCTACCCTTGTGAGAGGGTTGTATCCCATTTTCTGTTTGGTTTCTGTATTCCTAATATTACTCTTATTAATATGTGAACAATTTCTCTCTAATCCACTGTTGAGATCTACTACACGTCTCATTTCAACTATCGTTTATCTTGTAATATTTTTCATATAACTCATTATTACAAACACACATCCCAAAGTTCACTTAAAACACAAATTATTCCTTTTAATTCTAAAAATTACATCTCGTCCCTTCAAATTTCTACATTGCATAACAAATAACCTTATATTTTTAATAAATTATTAAATCAATTAAATTTTTTTAATGATATTAAAAATATTTTTCAATTAACAATTCTGGTAATTTCATCGTTACATAGAAGTTAGAAAATTAATCAGCTTATTTGGTTTGGATTTTTAGGATTCACTTTTCAGAAAATTGAATTTTTTTATTTTTCGTGTTTTTTTTATTGATTTTATTTTTAATATTTTAAGCATTTTTTTAAAAAAAATTTTAGATACACCTAACATAAATACACTTAAAAAGTATAATATTTCTGAAAAAAAAAATCTTTAGAAAATTCACTAAATACCAAAAATAAAAAAATACGAAAATTCATTACATTTTTTTGTATTCTTGTGTATTTATTGATTTTTAAAAAAAAAATTTACAAAAATTTTACTTTTTAAATACATCTAAGTAAAGTATATCTGAAAAAATAAAAAATTGTTTAAAATTTTGAAAATATTAACTAAAAATAAAAATAAAAACATGAAGAACAAAAAAATTAATTTTTAGAAAATTGAAACCAAACACACCGAATGGTTTTTATTCTGTTAAATAAAAAATTCTGATAATGGGTATTTATAATTTTTAAAATCTTAGAGAGTGATTAGTGTTTTCAATAAATTTTAGGAATTGTATTTTTAATTTACCCTAATGGACAGTGCTCAAAATTATACTTCTCATCTATTTTTCTGAAAATAAATATAATAAAATCGTATTGTTATGAATATCAAATGAATCTAAGTTTTTCCACCAATGATCAACACACAAAACCAAATAAAATACACAATTCAAATTGTTGCCATAGAACCCGTAGTAGCTCCATAGACGTCAACATCAGCACCCTCTAGTAAAACAACGGATTGAGGACAATCCTTCCCGGTTCATATTGTTGAAAAATAGCGTTTTCATTGTTTTCATACATTAATAATTGATGCTATCTAATAAGCATATGGTTTTGAAAACATATATATAGGTGAAATGTACATCAAATCCAGCATGCTCAGGGTTTCCAATAACGGTAACTATAAGTGATTTATGCCCTGGTAGTTGCGGCGCATATCAATTTGATCTAAGTGGGGCTGCTTTCGGTGCAATGGCTATTCGTGGTCGAGAAAATGAATTGCGCAATGTTGGCAGAGTGCAGATTCAAAGGTTATAATATATTTATACTAGTGGGTGTGTACCCACTTGATAAATGTGTTGTTAAATTTGTGAATTATAAATTTTAATTTTGATTTAAATATATATATATATATATATATATATTATGCTGCTCAAGTAATAGGAGTTTTGTTTTTTTACCGAAACGAAGGTCATGGGTTCAAATCATAGTCTCTTCACTATATAATTTTGTTTTAACTAGAGAAATAAAAAAAAAAACATCCATTTGACACAAGTACAGATAAGGTCTTTTATATTGTTTTTAAATAAAGAAATAAGAAAAAAAATCATATAAACAAATAAGAAAATCATCCACTTGGCATAAGAAGGGTTGTTGCTTTTTAAATGGAGAAATAAAAAAAGGGAGAGGATTGTTGTTGCGCGTTTGTGTATCACCCTGAAACTTGTATTAATGATCTAAACCTTGTTTTGTAGGGCTTATCGAGTATTTCACCTCTTAAAAAAATAAGAAAACAAGTCTTTTTATTATTATTAGTAGTAGTAGTAGTATTAAGTTTGGTCCAATTTTAATAATACTTGATTATGGAATGACCACATATAAATATTGCAGGGTTCCATGTCACTACACTGGTTTTAACTTGGCATTTAGGGTAGATAGTGGATCAAACCCTTTCTATTTTGCTACAGCAATTGAGGATGAAAATGGAGATGGTGATCTCTCCAGAGTTGAACTCCAAAACGGTGCCTCAGGTCGCTGGCTTCCAATGCAACGGTCATTTGGTGCTGTTTGGAAACTCAATGCCGCAGTGCCCGGCCCCCTCTCTTTCCACATTACGTCATCTTCCGGCAAGACTGTGGTGGCTACAAACGTTATTCCGGTGGGATGGAAGCCTGGTCAGACATACTATTCACGTGTAAATTTTTGATGATATAGGTTTCAAGAATATCGATATTTAGGTCAAGTTTGGAAAGACTAAGGCCTTGTTTGGTTTGTGTTTCTCAAAAAATTTTGAGAAAAATTCTCTACAAATAAGTTTTCAAAAGTAGTCAAACCAAACAAATTTTTCCAAATTTTTTTTCCAAAACTTGTTTGGTTTACAAGTTTTCCAAACAAATCCCTCTCTCATACACATCAAATCAATCACTTTTTCCAAAACTCTCTCTCAAAATAATTTTTCAAAACATCTTTTGAAAAAAAACCAAACCAAACAAATTTTCGTACTTTTTACCTCAAAACATGTTTCTCAAATACAAACCAAACAAGCCCTAAATAAGTGTACTTTTTGACTTTTTATGAAATATGGGTTAGATTTGGGTTGGGTTTGAAGTGATGTGTTAGAGAGCTGATGTGACTTAAATAAGATGATGTGACTTAAATAGGATAGTGACTTTTTGACTTTTTAAATTTTTTAGAGGATGCCAAACTTAACCTTATTAGGGTTTATTACGTTCTATTTGGGAAATCCAAGAATAAAAAAGTCACTTTTGACTGTTTTAAGTTAAAAATATTTTGATTGTTTGGTTTCAAATTGTTTGACAATTAGACTTTGTAATTGTCTTGTGCATTTGGTTGAGTAAAATATTTAAAATTTGAATCGATGCAGTAATAATTGTAATTGGAGTAATAAGCTAACAAACCTCCTAGACGGCTCACTACAAAAAATTAAGATTTTAGAAATCAAAATTTAAGAATAAATATTTTTTTTAGGAAATAAAAATTAAATATTAGTGATGAATTATTATCTTTTTGGGACTAATTTTTTTGTCTCAAAAAATAAATCAGTTTGAGACCAAATTTTTTTGTCCCTAAAAGTCTATTTATTAGTGAGATTTTCAAAATTTTATTACTAAAAGCCTTGTTTTTGACTTTTCAAGACGACTTTTTAGCGATTATTCCCATGATGATGGAAATTGGTTCCTAAATATTTTTTACAACAAAATTTTTACTTTTAAAAACTAAAATATTTAATTCCTAAAATTCTTATTTGTTGTACGGACTTGGTGCAGTAAAGTCTTGAGTTGGTTGGAGTTGATAAAGCGATGATCAATCATGTAATAGTAATTTAACTAACTCACTTGTTAACTACATACCTCTAAAAAAATAAAATAATGAAGGGTGGCACTAATAGCCCTTACCTTTTTTCTAAGGACTCCTGTTTATTGATATTTATTTTAATGATAATTATAATTTTAATTAAAATTACTGTAATAGATACAAATTGAAATGAAACACTCACCCTCATGAAAACAATACTCAAAATTAAAAACCTAACCCTATCAAACCAAATTCAACACCGAACCCATGACAAATCAATAACAAGAAACACAATTTTCAAGAATACAAACTGTCTTCCTGTTATTGAACTTGTCTCATTAATTTCCAGTCCTTTAAAATAAACCTCAACTCATTTGCAAAAAATAGTTGCGCTTGTTATTGAACTGTATTTCTTGTTATTGTTCATCAAGGAATACAAACTTTGGGAGGTGCACGATGAGTGTATATTGGTGATCCGAACATTTCAATATTTATGATTCGTCGAGTATTTTATCTCTATAAAAAAATTATGTTAATCAAATATTGATAACCATTTCATTAGATCAAATTTGTGTCAACGATATGTATGATTTTAATAAAATTTGAAATCTAACTCTTGCATTGGACTTGTGGATAAAATTTGTTGGGGAAAAAAAAAAAGGATTTAACCTTTGTAACAAAATAAACTCTTAATTTTTAATTTTGTCAATATAAATCCTGATCTTTTAATTTGGTTTCAATTTGAACTATTTGTCTATTTTCGTTAAGTAAAATTGATAGAAAAATAGGTATTGTAGTTATTAAACTTAATGAAAATGTGTATTTTAGACATTTAGGTCTCATTTGAGAACAGACTAATTTAGTAACTTTTTGGCTATTTGACTAAAATATGAGCTAAAAAAAACAAGTACGTTTGGAATGACTTTTTGAATTTTTACAAAAAGATGTGCAAAAAGTACAGAGAAAAGAGAATTTTTGACTTTTTTGTATGAATTGTTGTCTTTTTGACTTTTTTAATAACTTTTTGATTTTTTTGGCTAAACCGGTGTAGACACCCCATTTTTGACCGACCTTAAGACTTAGACGTCACCGATTGAGCGCTCGGTGATGATGCATATTGTGCTCGTTCTGAGATTTCAGAGTCTCGGCTGCGAGCCTTTCCTCCAAACTTCGAAGCTCTTTTGTGCTTTACCTCGGTTTGCGAAACAGGTCCTATTTTTTCCATTTTCTCTTCCCGAAGGAAGGGAGAGGTCTCGTAGACCATCTCACAGTGGACGTAGGCTACGTTTCGTGGTCGTAGGCCATTTTTCTCGTTTGGAGCCTAGTTTCCAGTTTTCGGAGCCGTCGGTCGTGTGCCTCGGTTCGGGACCGCTTAACTACCTCCGTTTGCTCTGATTTTTGGCACACACCTTGTTTCCTCCCTTTAGAGAGGCACTGTGGCCCGGGAGATACCTTCGTGGTCATACGCCACTTCTGGTGCCTAACAGCCTGTTTCCGAGGCTCCAGACTGCGCGTTTTGGCCCCCGAACCTTCGTTTTGCATCCGTCTTGGTCCATTTTTGGTAAGGACCCTATTTTCATTGTTAGGGAGGTGGTAGGATGGTGGGAGGCCACATTTTCCCCTGAAAAACCAGTTTTCTCTTTTTCTCTCTCCTAAAGTCGATTTTTTTGACAAAAAGCTGGTTTTTCTCACTTTTGAGCCACAATTTTTGGCTTTTCATACCACCATTGTGTTGTGCTCATCTGGGAGGCCACCAATATGGGTAGGCCGACCAGTAATTCTTCTTGACCCTTTTGAACCCCTCTAAAAAGATGATTTTTCTCTCTCTTGGGTCACATTCTCTGGTTTTCGCCACACAGCTGTATTCTACTCATCTGGGAGGCCACCTTTCTGGGTAGGCCGACCAAAAATTTTTCTTGAACCTTTTGACCCCTGGTCGGCCGACCAGGGGAGGTGGTCGGCCGACCACCTTGATCCGTTTAAACTGGTCGGCCAACTTTGCCTTTGTGAGTGTGTTCCAGCTGTGCCAGCTGTTTTGCACTTGACCCACTGTCCGAGGGTTTTGTCCTTGTTTTGGTTCTTTAAAGGGGGTTTTGACCCCTTTGCTTGGTTGGTAAGAGGACTTGGACCCTTTGGTCAAGCTTCCCTTAGAAGCTTTGAACCTCTCTCTTGGCTTCTCCAAGAAGCCTCACCTTTTTCCCTCTTTAAAACACACACTTCACCTCCATTTGCAGGGGTTAGAAGCTTTTGGCTGGAAATATACATACAACACTCTATCTCTATACTTCAAGCCTCAAAACATTCATATTCTTGGCCATTTTACTCTACACCTCTTAGCCTACCACCTCCCTCATTCATTCCAGCACCTTGGAGGTCATTTATAGAGGTTGAAAGCTCACCAACTTGGTCCAGAAGCTACTGGAGGTCGGCTCTACAAGGGTAAGTCTTCATTTTCCCTTTTCTAGCCTTATTTTGCTTCATTACTTAGCCCCATTTGAAAGCATTTCTGGGCCTCGACCTAAACTGTAAAGTGTCTTATTTTGAGCTCCTCTTCAACTTTGTTTAAGGGCACTTTACTATTTGAAGTCATCTACTTCCTTGTTTGCTCAATCTCTCTTTTAGGGCTATTTTTGCATCCAATTTTAGCCTTAATTGTGAACATTTTTGAGATTTTATATAAAATGGAAAAAGTCTTATTTTGAGCCCCTCTTGGTGTTTGTTTGAGGGCATTTTTCTGTTTGAGATCATATGCTTCCTTGTATGCTTGATTGCCTTTTGTTTTGAGCCTTGCATTTAAGCCTTTGTTGCATGCTTTGTTTGGCCTTCTAGCCACTGAAATCCAGTGGATTTTTAGTGGCTAGCACACTGTTTTGAGAGCCAAAATCAGAGGGGGGTGACCCCCTCTCTCTTGTCTTGTTTGGTGGTCTTTTTGGCCTTCCAAAGGACCTCTTAGTTGCATGCTTCTAAGCCTTGTTCCAGGCCCTTTTCAGTGGGTTTTAGGACCCCTATAGGCTATTTCCAGAGCTGGTTTTGCTATGCTAAGTGTCCATCATGTATGTTTAGAGCAATCCTCTCATTGGCCTTTCAAAGGAGCTCATCATTCTTGCATGTGTTGACTGAATTTCAGTGGGTATTTGGACATATTTTGGCATGTTTTGTTCACTGTTTTTGGCTGGTTTGGTGAGATCTCATATGCTTTATATAGGTGTAGTGTAAACCATGCTTACTAGCCAATGTTGCATGTTGTTTTAGCCCTTCATGTTAGCACTTTTTGGCCATGCTTTAAACTAGAAATGTGCATGTTTTGGGACTGCCTTAGCTCTATCTTTGTACGTCATGGCCAAATAATGCTTGCTTTGCATAGTTATAATTCAATACATGTGCCTAGCTTTGAGTTTCTGGGCTTATTTCATGCATCGGGTGCCATATTTCCACGTTTCGGGACCATTTAGCATCATGTTTCAATGCTGAAAATTACATGTTTGTATGCCATCTTTCATCCCTTGCCATGCTTTGGTAGAGTGGCATTTTATGCCTTAGGTTCGGTCCTCGGTATGCGTACACGTGTGCACGCATTTCGGTTGTCTCTTTTCCATCTCATGGCCACTGATGTGAGTGTGGCTGAGGTCCATTCATGTTGGTGTAAGTCCATCGTGCATTGTGTATGTCATTTCGGTCCATAGCATTACGTATGCTAGATTGCATATTAGAGCATCGTGTATGCCATGTCACATCGAGCATTGTGTATGCCATTTCATAGCATTGCGTATGCTAGGTTGTATGTTAATCGCATTGTGTATGCCATCTCATTTGCATCGTGTTTGGGATAGGAGTTAGCCCAAGCACGGGAAACGAGGTACGTTTCGTACTCCGAGTGACGGAACGTGTCTC